TATTAATACATACCAGCTGGCCTACTATCTTTATTCACCTTAATTAATCTACCTTTAATTCCTTTTTACTTGCAATCCTTTCTATACCACGGACCAATTTTGGACGGCATTTCAATTTCTAATTGGAGTTCTTCTTTCTTCAGACAGTGGAAACTTACCAGTGATTCACCTGGACACAGTCACAACCGAAGACTTCCTCGATGTCATTTCTCATACCAAGCCCTCTGCTAAGAATCTAAGTCAAAAATACGTTGACTGGCAAAGAGAATTTGAGTCGGTTTGAGCGGAGTTTAAGATCTGGAACAATCCTCCACGTTTCCAGCTCCTCCACTCCACCCAACACATTTATGAAAAGTGTATTTTTAAGAAAAGAAAAAAGAGAAGAAGAAACTTGCCGCTTTCCGATCTGGCTACTGAAGTTTTGATGATGGAGAAGAGGCTGCCAATTGTGATTTGGAGAAAGCTCGTTCTATCTTTTCATCTGATAGCTTGAGACTCATACACAAGGCGAACCCCCCCCCCCCCAATTTTAGCACTTTGACCATTTTTAATTTTTGTAATTAAACACGACCGGCTGTTTTTATTTCTGTGTTACCTAGAAGACTTTTGGGATCCATTTTGCTGACTTAATATTTGCTGCTATACTTTTCTTCCTTAGTGGGACCAGATAATAGGAAGGGATAAAGAGAAACATTAATTGGGCCTTCTCGGGCATCCTTGGCGGGGCACAGTGGCTCAGTGGCTGAGCTAGTCGATCCAAAAAGTGAGCAGTTTGGCAGTTCATCCCATGGGCCGAGTAATGGAATGAGCTCCCGTTACTTGTCCCAGCTTTCGCCGACCTAGAAGTTTGAAAGCACGTCAAAAAAGCAAGTAGAAAAATAGGAACCACCTATGGGAAGGTCACAGCGTTCCGTGCGCCTTTGTTGTTTTAGTCATGGCAGCCACATGACCAGGGAGACATCTTTGGACAGCACTGGCTCTTTGGCTTTGAAACGGAGATGAGCACTGCCCCCTAGAGTCGGAAACGACTAGCGCATATGTGCAAGGGGAAGCTTTACCTTTACCTTTACAGACATCCTTGCATTAAACCAGCAGATTTTGAAGAATATCCTTCAAGAATAAACCACTTTGGAGTCTCGGAGGTATTTTTTAGAGCAGGGGTCTCCAACCTTGGCAACTTTAAGACTTATGGACTTCAGTTCCCAGAACTCCGGGAGTTGAATTCCTTAAAGTTGCCAAGGTTGGAGACCCCTGTTTTAGAGGCTTCCTTACAGTGACCAATAGGTCTCCTCTCTCTTCCCTTGGTCACCTGAAGACTGAAAATAGACAAATGTCCATGGAGATCCTCAGTCATCCAGGTCATGGTTGTCCCAAAGGTGCTTTTTCAAGAGGCACCTGGGCTTTCTGGTTTTTTTCTTCGAAGGCGCAGAAGCTTCTTGGATGAGAAGAGAAACGTCTTCAGAGAAAAAACAGAAAGTCCAAGTGCCTCTTGCAAAAGCACCTTTGAAAATAGGCACTTTCAAGAGTTTTATTCCATTGGGGAAAACACTTAGCAAGTATAACAAGTTTTTAATCATGCACCCGGTAGATTCCCAGATCAAAACCGAGCAGCTACCAGGGAAGGAAAAATCCTTGTCCTACAATGTCTTCTACTACAACTCCGATGGGCCACAACATATCCAGGTTCTTCAGGCCAACCCACACATTCAGCTCTTCTGAATTTGTATCGTCAACGTAGCTGCACACTTGCCAATCCTATTTTATGGATTAAAAAAACCACTGGATCCGACAGACTAGTTTCTTCTTTTACAGCTAGGCTTCAACTTAAGATCCCTAACATAGCGCGGAATTTCCATTGTATGTCATAATGGTCCTAAAGTCAAGACACCCACCTAACTGGCTGAATTTTATTAAATTTTTGGTAACTCTCGTTAAGTGAAAGTTGCCATCGTTGTCTGCAGGGGGAGGTTTTTGTTTTTTGAAGTTACTGGGAAGTTAATTTTTTTCCGTTGTGGGGGGGGGGGGAAGGAAGAAGCACAAAACACACTCAGGGACTTGACAAAGCCAGCAAGATCG